GAACTGGTGCAAGCTAAAACATCTTCAGTAAGTGTTACAAATGCTGGTTTTGTACACATGCCAGGGGCATAAGCACTAGTTATAGAAACCATGGGTATGATCAGAAGTTATGACCTGATACAGTGAACAGGCTTTAGACACCATGAGAGGGAAAGGTAATGGCAATTTGATACCTCTGGTCAGGGTCATCATTCTTTGTCTGGACTTCATGAATGTGGGTTTGAAGAACTGGTTTTGAACTTTGTAAACCCAAGTTGCGCCTATAGATTTTTCAAAAACTCCACTAGACAGGTTTCTAATGAGTGGGTTTTCAAACTACTACAAGCCCGGAATACGTTTTAATGGTGTTGGACACCACATGCCAGGCGGAGATTTGCACACCATGAGCTAGGGTGATAGCGCCCGGCTGGGGTCTCTCAGAATCGAAGACACAGCCATGGGCCGAGGGTCATCATGGAATGGTTAGACTGTGTGCCTGCCTTCAGTGGGCTAGACATGACTGGCTGTTCCTGACATACATAATAATCACAGCGTAGGTGAAAGAGCCTTCACTCTTGTCACAAAAATTACCTAGGCATAACATATGTACAGAGCAATAAAGTCAAAACAGATTCAACTTCATGAATTCAGAGCTCCACTTCAATAAGGCAAGTACACAGCAAAAATTTATGGAAGGGGTAGATTTGTTCCCAAAACTTATCATACACTTATTACAGTACATAGTGATACACCTGACCAATTTGCAGGATTAACTGACAAGTAGCATATATCTTGGAGAAAACTCAAACAAGTGGAAATAGTCAAAACAGCACCATTTTACATGAAGGAACTATTTACAGATACATCATATATATACTTGACACAGAAATTTCTAGAGATTTATGATTAAAGTTTTTAAAACTTCTAATAATGATTGTGAGCATGATCTATATGACAGGTAGTCAAAATGGAATAACAGGGAATTGTGTGGAGTTGGCTGAACACAACCTAAAATATGAACTAAATATTCAATGGTCCTTTGTTAGAGTACTGTAAGGCACTCATTTGTCATCACAGACATTAACACTTATATCAGTAGCCACATTAGGGTACTGCCAGTCACTCAAGATGCAGTAGCACTTCAGCTATTAAATATGCTAGTCAGTCAAGGCTGAAATCTACTGCAGTCAATGGTCCCTTGACTTTCAGTCTTTGTCAGCCAATGGTCCCACACTTGGACATACATTGACCAGACATTGAACATAGTGAACTGGCTTTGATCAGTACATGGTACACGAAGGATGACCAACTATGTGATCAGCACACTAAACTCTCATGCAGTAAAATCGATGCGGTCCCATGATAGGCCTGATGTCACATCGTGAGCCTTGAGGTCCATCTCCTCCAGGTTAAAGAGGTCTAAATGGTCCTGGTTATTAGAGAGCAGTGGATCACTTTGATTAACACTAATACCACTTCTCCCACCACTACTACTTGTGCTACTAGTGCTGCAACTACTGTGGTTACCTCCTCTGTTGCTACAACTGCTGTTGCTACCACTGCTGTAATTACTCCCAATGCCACTGTCACTGCTGTTTCCCGATGTTGAAATCAACTGTGAGGGTGGCCAGGGCGCTGTGAATGTGGAAGACCCCGACGTCAACACTGGACCATTGGGAGTGGGCACCAAGGAGTCGAGCCAAGAGGCTACGTCAACGTCATCGTTCACCTCCATCTTAACGTCCATGGTTGGGCCTACGGTGATGAAGGACTCCTCTGGTCTGTGGGAGATGAGCAGATCCTGTGGAATATTGTTGTGATCTAGCGTGTGCTCCAAGGTGCCGAGCTCCATGCCTTCAAGCACGGGTAAGTCCAGGTCCAGAGGAAGCTCCAAGCCAGGCTGATTGGGGCCCTCCATCACAAGATCAGCAAAGAGGGAGTGAGAGTTGAGGCCACTAGTTACTATAGGAGATGTGCAGGAGCTTGGTATCCCTGGCACTGGTTGCTGTGCTACTGAGCTTGCAACCGTGGCACTAGTGATGCGTTGACTAGAATGATGCGGTGGTGGAGGTGGGGGTGGTGGTGGAGGCGGAACAGTGGTCTCTTGAGTCGATGGGACTGCAGAGGTCGTCGTATACACAACGGGGAGTGCAGTAGATGAGGTTGTGAATACAAGTGGCAGTGATGCTGAACTGCTGCTGAAGATAACTGGCACAGCAGGAGATGTGGTGTAAATAGTAGGAGAGTCACCCGAAGAACTGGTAAACGTTGGCCCAGTTCGGCTACACTTGATTTGGGTCGGGGTGTGAGGATCTTGTGCTGCACTTGGAGGCAACTCTGTAACAACAAATATATATTGTTTATCTTGTTTAGAGGAAATCCATAATTATGAAGTGCTAATATTAGCAAACAAACTCTGAAGGGCATAAGAGAATCAAAGATATATATTATTCATAATATACATTAAAGATTTTAATCACGGAAATATATAAAAGCTATCTACCTCCATTTTTGATGAGAATTTCTAATACATCGTCCACAGCCTGGCTTTTAACAGATGGTTTTCTGTTCTGTCCAGTCACTGGGGCCTTATTTGATATCTGAAAACAAAGACCCATTAGTATTCTTTTTTATCTTAGAAAAGTAAATGTATCCAGATTCTGATCATTGACCAAATCAACTTACATATCTATTAAAGATTGGTTTATCATCCTGACTTACTAGACATGCAAACAAAGAATAGTTATAAGATGCACAGATACCAGTATTCATCATGTGGAAAAAAAAGAATCAACTACATGCAAGTGGATATAGAAAACAATAAACTGCACTGGCAGAAATTCAGAAGACATAAGAGTTAAAATGCTAACTCCATCTTCTGCTTGCCTGCTTGCTACTTACTAATGTTCCTTTTAACTGCTTGGTCGCTTCATCATAGTTAGGAGGAGGTTTCAGTACAAACTGTGATTCTGTAGTAGTTCTATTTAAATTGTTATTGTTATTATTATTATTATTGGCAGTATTTTCACTGGCACTGGTGATAATGATTCCCGATACATTTGGTAGAGACGCAGTTCTGCAAAGAAAGAGAAGAATATATTAATCTATCACTTTTAATGTATTCATTAAAGAATTCTATATAAATATATGTATATGTATATATATGTATATACACATATGTGTATATATACATGTGTGTGCGTGTGCGTGTTAAACATTTTGTTTTGCTGGAATATGAGATCAATGAAAATATGTTTTGGTTCCTCCTGTCTGCACTTTATAAACAAGATATGACTAACTGATATTTTATTCCCTATGTAATTAACTGTGTAAGCAGAGAATTTATTTTTTTCCATGTTCAGCGGGTAGTGTTGACTCAGGAACAAAGTTAAAAAAAATACCAGTTTCTTTTAAAACTACACAAGTATGTACACGCCTCCTCTACCCTTGCAAAGGCCGTTCTTTGACTTACCGCTGATGAGCATTGACTGTAATGCCATTTTGCGAGGATATGGATCCCGAACGCTGAGTCTTTGGTTGCTCGTTGGTGTGGGGGTTGGGCGAGCTGAGGAGCTGGTCCCATACATTCTCCGACTTCACCTTCACCTCTCCGTTGCCAAGGTCATGGTTGTTCAGCTCCAGTTGCTGTGGCTGCTGGTGCTGCTGGATGAGCCCATTCTCCTGGATCTTGGGCTTGCCTGTGTCATGCACAACCTGCTGCTGCAACAACTGCTGCTGTTTCTGATGCAGTGTTTGTAAATGGTGTAACTGCTGTATGTGGCACTGCAGCTGCTGCTGTTGCTGCTGTTGCTTTTTGTTGTGGATGTGCTGCTGCAGTATCAGCTTCTGGTTAAGCTTGTTATCCTGGATATTTTTACACTGCTGTTCCTGAGCTTTGATAATGTTCTGCTGCTGCTGCAACCGAAGCTGCATCTGGGTGTGATGCAATTCTCTCTGCAGCTCCTCTATTCTTCTCTGCAGATTCGCCATGCTCTCATTGGACATCACAGTGGGGGCTGCTGTGGCCTGTGGGGTCGATTGTCTCGCTGTCACTGTCTGATTTGGGGCAGTGTTGACTGTCTGAATTATTGGCGATAACAGGACACTCGCGACGGGTATGGTGGAAGCCGTGGCGCTGATGATGTGATTACTTGGAGGTGGTGGAGGGGGAGGAGGTGGTGGAGGTGGGGGCGGGGTATTAATTGAGCCACCATCACTTATGTGAATACTAAGAGGGGTTAACGCATCGCCCGGAGTAAGAGGTGGGAAGTCATTTGTGTCCATGGCAGAGTCGAAGTCCACATCCATGGGAGCCACACTGGGTGGGCGCGTGGAGGAAGTGGAAATGTGAGAATAGGCAGGAGATGAAACACTGTCATCTCTGAAGTCCATTGGCCCTTCCAGTAAACCTTGAACTGCGAAGAAGAGAGAAAAAATATATATATATTGATACAAACACTTGTAAAATATCATTCATAACATAATGGCCAATACATGAGGGGGGAGGGAGGGAGAGATAGAGGGTGAGAGAGAGAGGGAAAGAGAGAGAGCGGGAGAGAGGGAGAGAGAGAGGGGGTAGAGAAGGAGAGGGGGGGGGGAGAGAGAGAGAGAGAGAGAGAGAGAGAGAGAGAGAGAGAGAGAGAGAGAGAGAGAGAGAGAGAGAGAGAGAGAGAGAGAGAGAGAGAGAGAGTGAGAGAGTGAGAGAGTGAGAGAGGTGGAGAGGGAGAGAGTGAGAGAGGTGGAGAGGGAGAGAGAGAGAGGTGGAGAGAGACAGAGAGAGAGACCGACCGACTAACTCACCTGAAGAATCGTCTGTATAATTAAACGCCGATTGTGTTGGAGTTGGTGTCGAAGAATGCTCCAGCAGATGTGCCACAGACAACACAGTGTTGCCAGAGGTGTCAGTCCGTGTGACATGTCCTTTGCCGTCACCCTCCATGGTTGTGATGGGAGTGACTGTTTCTCTCTCTACACTCCCTAACCTCAGGGTAACAGATGCATTGTTATTCATACTGTTACTAAGATTGTTGTTGTTGTTATTGTTGCTAATATTGTTGGTGTTGTTGTTATTGTTGCTACTGAGACTGTTGCTGCTGCTGATGCTACTGCTGCTATTGCTATTGGTAACACTACTCGCCACACTGGAATTCTGCGCTGCATGAGTCTTTAATCTCTCTATCAACTGGGGCTTTGAACCAGATACTGGCAAGTTTCTTTTCTTCAGTTCAGCTTTCAGATCTGACACTGGAACGGAAATTTGCAAATCAGTAATCAGTTAAAGGAGCAATTTTTGAGACACTGAATCATAACACATTGTAATAATGAACTAGCAAAGCTGAATTAGTTGTAACTTAATTGAACAATCCAGTCTTAAAAAATCTAATTTTACCAAAAGATATATAAATCCTCATTAATAACATTCTATCAACATTAAAAAAAGAAGAAAAAAGAAAGAAAGAAAGCAATATGCTAATTATTCTCAACATTATAAGCAACCCATTATCCTCATCTCCAACATCACAAGTCGAAAGACAGAGCGAACAACACAGCCTCCGAACAAACTCACCTTTCATATCCTCTAACTTGGTGTGCACTCTGATGCTGTGTCTCGGGGGGCGGGTGGAGGGGGGGGAGCAGGTAGGGAGGGTTTGAGCGCCGCGGGCAAGATGATCTGCGGATACTGCGGAGAGGGACGAAAGGTGGAGTTGAGTTCACCGAGGAAAGCTATTCTTCACTCTCTTTACCATGGGCTTTTAAGATTTATGACATCATTGTGATTTTGATTTTCATGAGTGCATTATTAAGCCTGTAACATTTCCCACCTCAACAACAAAGAAGAAAAAAAAAAAGAAAGAAAGCAATATGCTAATTATTCTCAACATTATAAGCAACCCATTATCCTCATCTCCAACATCACAAGTCGAAAGACAGAGCGAACAACACAGCCTCCGAACAAACTCACCTTTCATATCCTCTAACTTGGTGTGCACTCTGATGCTGGTCTCGGGGGGCGTGGGTGGAGGGGGGGGAGCAGGTGGAGTAGAAGACGGAGTGGGCGTCGTGGTGGGTGTGTGCGATGGCGTGTGGAGTACCTGGGAGAGGGTGAGTCCACTCGCCACTGTGGAAGAAGGCAGTGGAGGGGAAAAAAAAAAAGAAAGAAAGCAATATGCTAATTATTCTCAACATTATAAGCAACCCATTATCCTCATCTCCAACATCACAAGTCGAAAGACAGAGCGAACAACACAGCCTCCGAACAAACTCACCTTTCATATCCTCTAACTTGGTGTGCACTCTGATGCTGGTCTCGGGGGGCGTGGGTGGAGGGGGGGGAGCAGGTGGAGTAGAAGACGGAGTGGGCGTCGTGGTGGGTGTGTGCGATGGCGTGTGGAGTACCTGGGAGAGGGTGAGTCCACTCGCCACTGTGGAAGAAGGCAGTGGAGGGGGGGTGGGAGCTACCTTTATCACAGACGGAAGACTGCTAGTGCTGTCATTGTTTGAGGGTTTGAGCGCCGCGGGCAAGATGATCTGCGGATACTGCGGAGAGGGACGAAAGGTGGAGTTGAGTTCACCGAGGAAAGCTATTCTTCACTCTCTTTACCATGGGCTTTTAAGATTTATGACATCATTGTGATTTTGATTTTCATGAGTGCATTATTAAGCCTGTAACATTTCCCACCTCAACAACAAAGAAGAAAAAAAAGTACATGTCATATGATTAAACATAATTATCTTACTATAATTATGTACTCTATCTACCTTATAGAATAATATTAGTAACGTATCCCTCAATATATTTTGCATGCATGCGTAACCCTTATGTAAACATCAGTGTTGTACACTCCTCCAGAATATATTTGTGTAGCTCTGCAGAACTCCATATTTTATTCACCTTTCCCCTCAAATGGAGTAATAAAACAACATATAAAACAGTACACAAACTAAAATTCTCATTATAGGCAAGGAAAGTTTTTTTTTACACAACTGATACTACATACCTTCTGTTTCAGTTCTAGCTGACACTGCAAAAATAACTGTTGCTGCTGAAGAAGTATGTCGTAGGAAGTCTCTGAGGAACTCGTACTTGATTCTCTCTTGACTGCACTTGGAGGGCCCTGTAAACAACCCAAATATAATGCAACTGACTCTTAAATTATTATTCTACTTTTCATTAAAGACAGACTGAAAGAACATAAATTGGATTTGCTTATATATAGAATTAAGATTTGAACACTAGATTCTGTATTTCTTTTTAATCACATATAGAAAGAGAGAAGAAAGAAAGAAAGAGTGAGAGTGAGAGAGAGAGAGAGAGAGAGAGAGAGAGAGAGAGAGAGAGAGAGAGAGAGAGAGAGAGAGAGAGAGAGAGAGAGAGAGAGAGAGAGAGAGAGAGAGAGAGAGCACCATACACATACATATAACAAGACACACACACAGAGGATTCCCTTACCTTATATTCATGAAACTTGATAGTTCTAGCTTTGGGCTGAGTTTTTCCTTTTGACTTCTTCCTGCTCTTGGACTGGTCCTTGCCTGGAGCAGAATTTTGTTGTGGAGGTGTTGTGAGGGCATGGGGAAGAGGAGTACGAGTGACAAAGAGTGTTTGGGTGAGAGCAGAGGCTTGAGGAGAAGGAAGGAGAGGGTGCTGAGGAGACGCGAGAGAAGACAGAGGCGAGAGAGAGGAGGTGGTGGAAGTGAGAGAAGGGGAGGGCGCTGCCAAATCTGTTGCACAGGTAGCAGGTGCTGCTGTGACAGTGGGAGCAACAGGAGGTGGCGGTGGAGGGATCACTGCTGTGGTTGCAGGAGCTGAAGTGGTCTCTAACAGTACTGGACTGGGTGACATATGCTCTCTGACCCCTGTGGCACTTCCAGCCTCACTCTGGTCTGGAGACATGCCACCCTCACTGCTTGACTCATCTTCAAACTGCACATACAAGCTTGGATGCTTTCTAGGTTCTCCTTCACTTGTACTTTTAAACATCAACTGTCCCTCTGTAGATGTATTTAATTTCATACATTAGACTTTCCACTGATAAAAGGTAGGACATATCAGCTTGACCAAAGTCTTGAAATTAAAGAGAGATGTCAAAGATAGGAAGGGGAAAGAAAGAGAAAATATATAACAAAAGCCACAATCCTTGCACAAAAGTAGACAGGTGATAAGAGCACTCTACATGAATAAATTTATGACTTGAAATTTACAACAGGACATCCACTCTCAGGAAAGGAAAAATTGGCAGCTCCCCCTAATCAAGCTGTTTTTTTTTATTCTAATCTCATCTAAATTTAATACTTCCTTAAAAATGTTTGGGCAATTAAAACTTTTATACGATATTTCTGATTACTTTTTACTGAAAATTGCTTTCAGTCAGAAGACACCAGAGTTCAGAGTGAGTTGCCATTTTTTTCCTTTCCTGAAATTGGACAGATGATTTCCACAACTAAATTATTCAACAATAACATAGTAACACTAAGGTATAAAAAATATGAAAAATACAATCATTTGTCAATACACTTATCAAAAATCTGCTCTCCTTCATTCTCAACTTCTTTATGCAAATAACAGTACACATCATATCATTTACAAAACTGAAATAGACATGAATCTACTACTTGAACCAAATAGTACACACATCAATAGCATCTCAATTTCTGTGAATAATAGAGCCAACCATTCCCCTTTGTGTAGTGCTTATGCAAATTACTTGCATAAAAGCCCAAAAGGTCCCAAAGCATTTAAATTGCTCTACTTTGCAATTCCATTAATTCCAGTGTGAAATGTAAAACCACAACAGCAACAACTCCAGATGCTACTTTTCCCTTTAGCAAACTGAGAAAATATACTGAATCGTCGTCATAAATTTCACCAGCACACATTTAGGAGCACAACTGAGGATTCACAAATAATTCAATAACTACAACAGTCACAATCCATACTTTATGATAACTTCATGTAAGACAAACCACAGGGATGCCTTTCCAACCTCATGAAGCTACCATAACAAAGCTCTATCTCTATTTTTTTTTTTCTTTATATCTGCACTTCTTTTTTATTTTGATTTTATATATATATACATTTTTTTTTTTTTACCTAATTCCATCTATTTACACCCAGGTCTTCAAAATTCCCCCAAACACTCTTTTCTATGCAAATTATACCAACACAACTTCATTCTTTAAAAAAAGAAACACCCACCTTTAACAGCTTTCTCCAAGTCTTCTGAAGTATGGAGGATATTGGCTCTGACCAGCTCCAGAGGGCCAGGCCGCTGACAGAGGTGGTCACTTATGGCATCGGCTATTCTGGCTCTCTTCAGCTGTTTCTGTTTTTCCACTAGTGATGGGTCAATGTTACCAGGTGCATCTGTGTCAAAATGAGATATAAATGTGCATTATGCGATATGAATAAATTGTATCAACAGCATCCGTCAGAAAATCCCAGTGTTTGCATGAGGTAACTCTTCCCTTGCACTCAACCACATCTAATATAAATTTAAAACTTCCTATCAGGCACTGAAACTACTACTACTACTCCCAATAGTGATAATAATATCAATAATTAGACATTATTTCAATGTATCAAGTAAAGAAACAAGACAACCACCAACCTTCTAAAATATGTTGTCGTACAAGTTCCTCTCTGTCAGGTCTCCGCTGCATTTTCTGCTTGAGAATGTCATGTTTCTTTGCCATGTCTAGCTTCTGCCGCTGCTCGTAGAAGGCAGCTGGAGTATTCATGGCTGTCGATAGACGAAGAGAAGCTCAAACGCCGGCCGATAGATTTATTCATAGAAGAGCAAAGACGATAATAGGCTGCATTACATAACATCCCTTAAGGTAATACTCTAAGTGAATACAAATACACAAAGGAGATCAGGCCCCCCAGGCGGTACTCACGAGGAATGACTCCGCGGCTGACCAGGTCCTCCCGAGGCCGCCTCAGCATCAGCTTTACTTTCAGGGCTGGAAAGAAATAACAAGCAAACAGCTTTAGACGAAAATATTCTTCAGGTAAATGGGT